AAAATTTTGGGAAATTTTTGGAATTTAGAAAAATATTTTGAAGAAATGGCGAAAATTTAAGATATCCGGAAAATTTTTTGGCTTCACGGAAAATTTTTGTATGTCCGGAAAAAATTTTTGACCCCTAAAATGGTACACTGACCGGAATTTTTTTGGCGACGGGGGGGGGGTGAAAACAATTTTTCAGTAAAGGTTGTGTTCCTATAGGGGGCGGACCATTAGAAAAGTGATGGGGGGGGGAAGCGAAAATAAAAATTGAGCAGGGAAAACAGAAAGAAAAAAACTTTGTGCACCAAAAAAATTTGAAAAAAAAATTCGTGCAAGGGATTATATAATATTATATCGACACAAGCAAAAAATTTTAAAAAAATATTCGCCCAAGTCGAAAATGTCCCCCCCCCCCCTATCACTTTCCTAATGGTCCTATAGACTTGTTACAAGGTTGTTTTGAAGAAGTCTGATACAGTCATGATATAACAAGAATATTAAAAGTTTGACGACACAAGGTCGTAACAATATTGTTGTATCACGACTGTATCAGACTCGTTGGAACAACCTTCATAATACAAGTTTTATTCAAGATAGAGAATTAGGGCCTGTCATATGAGCCGGGCTGGCCTGTTAAACCAGGCTAGTTCGCTTTTGCCGGATCAAGTTGTTATTTGTTTCACACGAGGCAGGCAGCCCGGTTTCCTGGGTTAACCACTATCAAGTGTCAAGTGTGTTCATACGAGCCTAGGAAGGCAAGGATCTCGCCTCACATAAATGCGAGTCTGGCAAACCGGGCCAGGTTCTCATGCAAATCAAATCTCAAAAATATAAAAAAAAACATAATACAAGGCAAAATCTCGCCACTTGCGAGTCTGCCGGCTACCAGACCAGGCCAGCCGCTTATATGAACAGGCCCTTAGAATCAACCACACAATTCATATCAACCACACAATTCATATCAACCACACAATTCATTGAGTGTGCAAAGGTTTAAATATGTATGCACAGTAAATCCATATGTAAATGTCTGCAGTCTGCACAAAGCTCTTTCATACTGAAACCTTTTTATGCAGTTTTCCTAAATGCATGCAGGCTACTGTATTGTTGGACTTTTAAGGCAAAAAGAAAATCAAACCAATTTAAAGGAGCAGATAGATTATTAATAAAAATGTGAGGCTCGCTGGTAAAGTATTATAGAATTGGGGATATAATTGGGGATATAATAAAAATGTAATCGAACTTCAGCGCGCTATTGATCTAATTACTCTGCGTATGAACGAGATTTTTTCACATTCGGAAAGATCATGCTTTTAGCTGTTGAATGATATCTTCTTCATGCCAAATGGATAAAAAATGAGCAAATACGAATCCGATAAAAAATGTTAGTCAGAATCACATATTTTCACCGTTGAGAGTTGGGTCTAAAACCATTGAAAATGAACCCCCTTTAGGACTTAAGTTGATGAATTTCACTTCATTAAACTGCACACATATTCATAATAATTATTAAGTGGGAATAAATCTTAGGTAAGCTACGACACGTTCGTGATTAATTGCTTTTTCTTTTGTTATGTATTGTTTTAATGAGGCACAGAGGTGAAAATATGCGATTTTGACTAACATTTTTAATCGGCCTCCTACATGCTTATTTTTTCTCCACTTGTCATGAAAAGCATGTCATTCAATAGCTAAAAGCCTGATCTTTCCGAATATGAAAACCAATTGTTCCTACGCCAGGTAATTCACGTATAATAGCGCGCTGAAGTTCGATTACCTTTTTTTTGATACACCCTGTATAGGCCCTCTGCAGGAATCGAACCTGGGGTGCAGCGCTCTAACCAACTGAGCTACAGAGGCCAGTTGTCGAGGCCAGTTATATACATGAACTTGCGGTTAGATAATTTCCAGTTATTGTAGTCCGTAATGTCGT